GGATGGAGTGGATGGATGGACAGAGTGGATGTATGGATGGATGGATAGAGCGGATGGAGTGGATGGATGGATGGATGGGAGGGATGATGGATGGTGGATGGAATGGACAGACAGACATGACAGAGACAATAGGTACATTGCTAGATTGACAGATGCTCCTGAGAATATGGAAAACAGAAGAAGAACTGATAGTAACAAAACTTGGGAAGTGTCCACCTTTCTGTCTGGAGGGTAACTGGGCCTTACCGCTGACATCGGGAAGACCAGGAAGACAAGTGACAGCTCGCCGTGAGATGTGCTTGGCGTCCCTCAGACCGGAGATGCTTCTCACCCTCGGCCGAGAGCAAACTTCCAAACTCACAACTGCTCACGGTCTCAGCAGGCCCCAGAATTTAGTTTTTAAGTTGGAGGAGGAGAATCCAAGGTGCAAGCCAGGAATTTTAGCATCCGCCATCTTGAGAAGTAAAGATCACTATGGGTGTGGAAAGAGGAAGACTGGTGGAAAATCTGTCTTTAAAGCCTTTCATACCATTGGCAGAGCTCCAGGAGCATGGTTGGTTAGCTCATGGCACTGCTGTAACCCACTGGCTCCTCTGCCCAGTTCCACGTGGTAGTATCCTCTCCTTTGCCATGCAGAAGCTGGAGGTTTATTCTCTGCAAAGATGTGAGGTGACTCTGGTCTGAGGGACACCAAGCACATCTGAGAGTGAGCTGCCACAGTGGAAATGGTCTTTCTCCACATGGAAGTTCAGACCTCCAACTCTCTTCCTGGTCTCCTGCTGCTGGGCGGAAGGACGGCAGTTCTCCTCTGGGAATCCAACCAACCCAGGAGCAAAGTCCTATGATACTAAAGCAGGGAAATTCACAACAGAGAAAGGCAGCCAACCCCATGGCTCATGCCTCCAATCCCTCCATGCACATGGGCCTCCAGCAGGATGTCTAATGCCCAACTGTTCACCATGAGCTGCACTGACAACAACAGGAAGAGGGAAACACACACACACAGAGCTCACAGGAAAGAGTGATGAGAAGGAGAGATGAAAGCTTAAGAACAATCAGTATCCCCAAAGTATAAGACACTGTGTCGTGATATTGGAATAGGAATATTAATTTTAAAGAATAGTCAGAAAGAAAAAAGAATAAATTTAAAACATGATAACAAAAACAAAAATCTCAGTGGAAAGATGAAACTCACACTTTCCCACAAGGTAGACAAAAAGACACAGAGATTAAAATTGAAGAGGTGAGGACAGAAAACTTGGGAGTGTGTCCACCCAAAAAGACAAGGATGAACACAAGGAGGAGAAAGTTAATAAAGAAATAAAGCAGGAAGCTTCCCCAGAACTGAGGTTCTAGAGCACATAGGCCCAGTCAGTAGGTGGACCACAGAGGGAAGAACCATGAAACAAAGTGTCGTGAATTCAGAGCCCACCGCGTGGGGAAACCCTCCAAGCTTCAAGGAGAATGGATTTCACGCAAAGGATCAGGAACCAAACTGGCATTAGGCTTCTCAGGATGAACAGTGAAACCTAGAAGAACATCAGGTCACACCCCTGGGAATCTGAGGGACAGACTGGTTTTCACCTCCTCTTTGGAAAAGCCCCACTGCAAAATGAGGGAACACGGTGCATGTCAGACACAGTGGCCCGCAGGGCAGAGTGAGGTCAGGGAGACCCTACACAGCCCACACAAGCCTGGGGCCAGTGGGGGGACTGGTCCTGGAGCCTGGCTGAGGTCTTCCACCAGCACTGGCCAAAACAAACACAGTAGGAGCCCCAGGCCAGAGCCACACAGACAGGGGGGATTAACCAGTAGCCACAATGAAAGAAACAGCAGGCAAAATCTGTGTTGCTATGACATTTCATGTGAACTCTGTATTAGTCTGCTTTTTGCTGCTGTAACGAAATGCTGGTGCTTTACAGAAAAGAGAAGTTTCTCTAGCTCATAGTTTGGGAGGCTGAGTCCAGTGCGGGGCGATGCACATGGTGGGCGCATGGGAGATGAGGGGAGGGGGATGGCACCCGGAGACCGCGGTGGGGGAGGCCCGTGCCCTTGCTAACAGTCCCCTGCCAGACCCGCAGCCCAGGAAGGCTCCTCCCTCCCGCGCGGTATGCAAACGCAGAAGTGGGGGGCAGGGGGATCACCGGCCCGGGAAGGCTTGGGGAGCCCCTCGTCTCTGGGAAGGCTGGGGAGCCCGGGTCCCCTGGAGGCCGAGGAGGATGGGTGCTCACGCAGCTCGCGCCCCTCGCTCGGCAGGCCGTCGCCAGCCACATGCACCTGAAGTGCAAGTGCCACGGGCTGTCGGGCAGCTGCGAGGTGAAGACCTGCTGGTGGTCGCAGCCTGACTTCCGCGCCGTGGGCGACTTCCTGAAGGACAAGTATGACAGCGCGTCGGAGATGGTGGTGGAGAAGCACCGCGAGTCGCGCGGCTGGGTGGAGACGCTGCGGCCGCGCTACACCTACTTCAAGGCGCCCACCGAGCGCGACCTGGTCTACTACGAGGCCTCGCCCAACTTCTGCGAGCCGGACCCCGAGACCGGCTCCTTCGGCACGCGCGACCGCACCTGCAACGTGAGCTCGCACGGCATCGACGGCTGCGACCTGCTGTGCTGCGGCCGCGGCCACAACGCGCGCACGGAGCAGCGCCGTGAGAAGTGCGGCTGCGTGTTCCACTGGTGCTGCTACGTGCGCTGCCAGGAGTGCGCGCGCGCCTACGACGTGCACACGTGCAAGTAGGCGCGGCCGCGGGGGCTCGGACCGAGCAGAACGCGGGTTCCCAGAGGGGCCAGTCGTGAGACCCCACGCGCGCCAGGTCCCCACCGCACCTTGCCGCGGGGGCCTGGGCCCACTCCGAGGCCGCGCCTCTCCCCTCCGCCCGGGACTTGCCCCCTCGGGACCGGCCTCCCGAAGAAGCCAAGCCTGCGGCCCCCCGCCCGAGCACTGAGCTCAGCCCTGCGCCCCCGCCCCTGCTGGGAGCGCCCCGTCCCGCCCAGCGGCCCCGCCCCGCGGCTCCCGGAGATGCCTGCCTCACCTGGAGCTGTTGGGAGTCAGCGGCCCTGAGCCCGCTCTGCTGGGCCCTGCCACTGTGAATCCTCCCCTCCAGGCAGGGAGCGGACTGGCCAGAGGAGAGGGCACGCGCGACCGCCCTTCCCTGGCATTGGAATTGGGGGTTTCAATTTTATTTCTGATGCTGCTATATCTACCTTCCACTGGAGTTAGACGTGTTGCTTCATTTTGATTTTTTCTTTTCTTTCTATGAAAGAAATTATTTTAGTGATAGCACATGAGTTTCAAATAATGGGGAAAGTTGAAGAAACAACGTAATAAGTCTGTGGTTTGTGCTGGAGTTTTTCCTTTTATTTTGCCTATTTTATTTTTTATTAACATGTATTAATTGTACGTATTAACGAGGCTCACTGTGATATTTCCACACATGCAGATGCTCTGCCCTGGTCGGCCTGGGTAGTTAGCGTTTCTGTCCTCGAATTTGGTGGTGGATCTGGAGAAGGCCCGTTGCCCACGATAAGCAGGGCAGCTGACCCCGCCCACAGAGCGACATGGGCAGGCTTTCAGGAGGAAGCAAGCTGGACAGCTGAGGCCCAGACGGGAGGTGCAGGCCCAACTGGGGAGAGGGTGGAGCTGGGGCCCAGGGAAGGGAGCAAGCAAGCCTGCTGCCCAGCGCCAGGAGAGGGACCGGGGCCAGGGCTCCTCCCCCATCCCCCCCCCGACACCCATCCCCCCTGGGGCGTGGCCCAGCTGCTCTGTCTCCAAGTGGGGGGTCACCAGGGCCCTGGGGTAGGGCTGGGTCCTCACCCTTAGAGGGGTGGGAAGGGGGCCTTGCCCCAGAGCCCCATGCCCGTTGGCCTTCCCAGATGGCCCAGGCCTGCTCCACTCGAGGAGGGGGTGCATTGTGGAGTGTGGGGCCTCACCTTCACCTGCTGCCCCACCAGGGTCTCTGTTGCCCTCTGGACTCCTCCATGCCTGTACCCAGACTGTCCCCATCTCCTGATGTCCAGGCAGAGCCCCAGAAGCTGGAGTTGGGCGGTTGAGGGCAGCAGGCCCAGGTCCTGCATGGCCACCCTGCACAGCCACTTGCAGGCCAGCTGCAAGACAGGGCTGCGAGGGCGGAGGAGGAGGAGGCCTCGATGACCCCCCATCTGGAGCGTCTGATGGTGGGAATGGTCACCCAGGAGCCCTGGGAGCCAGAGACCCATGCTGCTAGAGTGCCAGAGAGGAGCCAGGGGAGGAGGCACAATCCTGCCATCTCTCCAGGGGACAGTGCTGGCCTGGGGGAGCTGAGAACAAACTGCCTGGGAGTCCCACACCACCCTGGGCTCTGGCTGCAGGGCAGGTAACCTGGTGTCCACCCAAGCCCATGACCTCCTCCCTTGGGTCCCCTGAGGCCTGCTGCACCCCACTCTCCTGAACCAAGCATAGCCCAGGCCACTGGCTCCCAGGCCGAGGTGACCTACACCAGGTAGGGTGGGGATGGCACCACCCTGTGAAGAGGAGGCAGGAAGACAGGTGTCCATTCTCACTCTGCGGAGTGAGGCAGCAGTGGGAGGGGACCGATCCGGGGCCATGGCCATGAGGGGCAGTGAAGGGGCCCTCTGTCAGGCTGGTCCCACAGGCTTCAAGGGCCCTGAGTCACGGCCCTAACTGGCACCTGCTGGGGCACCATGCTGGGAGCCCCAGGTGAGGAGGCTGGGTGGGACCCTGATGGGTGGCAGAGTCCTTCAGGACGGTGATGCCTGAGCATGGCTCTTGACCCTGGGGGGAGCAGGCCCAGGTGGAGCCAACCTGGACTCCAGACATCTGGGTTGTCTGCCCCGAGCTTGGGACAGGGCAGTGCTGGCCCAAGGATACAGCACCCCAGGGTAGCCAAGGGGTCAGTGGCCCAGAGGGAAATACTGGGCTGGCTGTCCCCGGTACCCTGGGTGCACAGAGGGCAGATTCCACAAGACGCTGACCAAGGAATGGGGCATCTACAGCCACTGGCCCCAAGACAGACCCCAGTTCATATCCCTTGAGGAACCGGGAGGCGAAACCATCCGCCCTCTGGGCCTCAGTTCCTCCGAGGCAAGAGGCCTTGGAACAGCAGCTCTCCAGGGGTTCTGCTGGCCTGAGCCGTCCCCTTCCCAGGCTCCTCTGGGGATTTACAGCCCCCTCCACCACCCCAAGGAGGAAATGAGCTGGCCGCCTGTTCTGTTCGCAGGTAGTTGAGACAGCCCACGAATAACCATATAAAAGGCCCAGAGGTTGTGGCCCAGCCCCCTGCAAATCTCACACTCTGGCTTTGAAGTCCTGGAGGGGTGTGGCCTGCCCCCACCTGGGGCCCCCTGGCCCTCCTCCTCTCTGCCCCCTCCTCCCTGGATTCACCCCTTCTGGGTCCTGGGGCCTCAGTTTCCACCACTAGGATGCACCCCAGCAACCACCAGGATGGCAGGTGTGTGGGGTAAAGGGGACCAGTCTGTGATGAGGAGGTCCAGGCCCAGTCACAGGGCACCAGCTGCTGGGGCAGGAGGCAGCCAGGAGGGAGTCCGGGAAGCCTCTGGGGCCTGAAGAGGTGACTGAGCTGGAGAGGGAGAGAACTAGGACCCCTCCAAAGACGGCCCAGGCATGGGAACCTCTCCTTGGTATTCCGCATCTCAGTGGGTACAGAAGTGAGCATGGAGCTGCAGCTCTGAGCTCAGAGCCAGGGTCCTCACTGTGGGCTCCCTGGTGCCAGGCAGAGCTCAGTGGTGGACCATCCACCCCAAGCAGGAACCCAGAAGGGGCTCAGAGAGGCTGCAAGGCCCCCAGGGCCCACTACACTCGGCCCAGAGCTCTGGCCACAGCCGCTGCCCTCTGGCCCCAGGGTCTTACCCTTCCTGAGTGCCTCTGCCTGCCCAGGGACACTGCCGACCCTGGGGTCTGCCTGCTGGTTGGGGGCAGGGCAGGGACTCACACCCACTGGTCCCCAGGGACCTGCCATTCTCCCTAGAGGGTTGCCTGGAACAGGATCTTTGAGGCCACAGCCTTGGAGTCAGTGCTCCTCCGCAGAAGCCTGTGGTGGAACCTGGGCACCCCTCTGGCACCCCCTGCAGCCCTGCTGGGCCAGGCACACCAGACAGAGTCCAGGCCGGGACCCAGGGTGCAGCTTTCAGGTGACACCCCAGGCTTAGGTGTCGGTCGAGGTCCATCCTGAGAGGTGCCTGCCTGCTCGATGGCTGCAGGGCAAAGGGACTGCTGCCCTCTGAGATGCCTTGGCAGTGCCAGGAGGGTGGGGGCGGGAGGCCAGGGAAGCCTGGACAGGCTGGGCTGGACGCTGTCAGAGCTACTAATTGCTGTTTAGCTCTGAGCCCTCTGTGCTGGCCTTTTCCCTCCCTCTCCCTGACTCTCTCTCACTCACTTTTTATTTGAGCTTTCACAGCACACGGTAAATAGTCATTTGGTTCTCAGGGCCCTGCAAATTGGTGTTTATGGTGCAAAGACAGGAGGGCTGGTCTCCCAAACCCCAGCAGCAGGAGGGAGGCTAGGGAGGCACAGAGGGCACCTAGGCTTGGCAGGAGTGTGGCCCAGGGTGCAGCCTTGTCCGTCCCCCTGCACACACCCCAGCTCCTGCCCAGGCAGCGTGGACACAGGGACTCGAGGCCTCAGGGCGGGGGAGGCAGCAGTGATGGGACTTCCCAGGCAGCCTCTGCACTGCCAGGAGAGGCAGGCAGGCCCAGACAAAGCCCCACGCTCTTGGCCAGCGGATGGCACAGGCCTCGCCTCCCCTTCGTCCTTGCGTGCGCCCTGGGGAGGCCAGGGGCGGCTGAAGTTTGGAGTAGACCCGGGAACGGCATAGGCTTTTCCCCAAGTGTGTTCATTTTCCAGGTCTGTGTCGGGTCCTGGGGGAGACATGGCTAGGTGGCCTTTCTCTAGTCCTTGGCTCAGGAGGCTTCCATGGCTCTCCCGGGGGCATGGGTAGAGTCAGGCTCTCAACCTGGGCCCCATGGTCTGGTGCTACAGGGTTGTGTATAGCATCGGACTGTGGAGCTGGAAACAGCCCCAGGCAGGGACTTCAGCTGGTACCTCCTGTCCCAGCCACAGCTAACCCGGCCTCGGTCCTCTGGCCTTGGACATCCTGGCCCTCCGTGCCAGCTTCTCACTACCTTCTACAGGGTTGTGTCCTCGGCCCTTGTCTTTCCAGGTCCTGCTCAGAGCCTTCGGAGGTGCCCACTAACCCCAGAACTAACTCCAGCGCCTTGGCTTCCCCTGCCCGCCGCCTGGGCCCAGCACTGTCCCAGGGCCCCTGGAAGGGCCTGCTTGCACCAGGAACCCAGAGCTGGCCAGGGGGTGGCCGCTGCTGTCCTGGCCTTTCTCCGACTACAGACCTCTGCACCGCCACCCCCAGCCCTCCAGCTCTGGGGCATCCCGAGCAGGCTGAGTGAGCCCCGGCACAGGGTCAGAGCCCTGCAGGGGCGCCCGTGATCTTGGGTGGAGGGTGAAGGCGGGTTCCCAGTGCATCCTGGGCAGCTCCCAGCCTGCAGGACAAGGCGGGACAGCAGGGACAGTGCGAGAGGAGCATGAGGCCAGGGAAGGGCGGGCTGGGCTGCAGCCACAGAGCCCTCCAGACAGGACTGGGCCAGCACTGGCTTCTCCTCTCTCAGAGCCCCTCGTGGCTCCCGCCAGGCCAGGCTCAAAGAGGGCGGTGGGCAGGCGTCCCTGGACAGTGGCCACAGGAGGTGCCTGGGAGGAGGATCAAAGCCACTGCTGGTGCTCCACGGAAAACCTCCTCTGTGCCCAAGCAGGTGGCACTACCAGGTTCTTCCGGGCACTCCCTGTTGGAGAGCCCAGCACCTGTGAGGCCACCGAACAGCAGCTCCAGGGGCAGCCCAGCAAACCACAGACCGCCAGGTCCTACAAACAAGCTTCCTTCATGGTGACTGCTGGGTTCGGTGCAGGCAGGATGGGCTGACATGACATGGCCCTGTGCTGCCATGGTGCTCCCAGCCGCCTGCCTCCCAGCCTGGCCTGGGATCCAGGTTAAGTGTGTCCCCCCAGGCTTCCTCCCATCCCCGCTCTGCCTAAACACAGGCAATACCGGTTCTGATCCCTGCCCCAGCCAGGCAGTAGGTGGACAGGACTGCCTCCACTCTAATTCCCTTCCTGGTCCAGCCAGCACAGGAGCAGGGCATGGGAAGGGCCAGAGGACTGAGGGACCCTCCCAGCCCTGACTGGAGCACCCTCTCCAGGCCCACCCTACCGGAGCCAGCCTGACGCTCAGCACTCAGTTTGCCAGGCACTGGGCCCAGAGCCAGCCAGCCTGAGCAGCCTCCTCTGGGTGGTTTTGCAGATTTTGTTTTCCTGTGGA